ATATATATATATATCTCACACATACTTTTTTTTTTCTTGTACTGGGAATCAAACTTGAGTCTTTGTGCAGTGGAACCACTGAGCTAAATCCCTGGCCCTCACACTGTATTTTTTTTAACTCCCACTGTATTTTTGATCACATCTCATGAGAGCTGATAGGGGTCTTTGGCATTTAAAAGTCTATTAAATTTGGATGCAACTAAATTTGCATGCCTCTGCAAACCATTGATGATAAACTGTGAGGTGTTTTGTAGAGACTTGAAATTACTTTAATTTTTTGTCACAAAATTATATGGAATTGGTGTTCTTAAGTTGATTAAATTCTAATATTTGATTTACCCTGACATTTAAACAGTTTTTAATGAGGCACTCTTAGTCTCTTTGAACTTTTGATATTGCTGACATAGAAGTAAATATGCCTGTGTGTTAGAATTGTGTCCCTTTTTCTTATAGATAGATGAAAACAGTTATTAGAATACCTATTTTCCAATTTTCAAAGCAAAAGGATGTTTTGGTTTATTACCAAAAAAAAAAAATTCTCTTAGTCATGTTTTTGTTAATACCTTTAGTCTTTTCCTGAGTCACTTCTTTCTCTGCTTGTAACCATGTATGTGTGTCTCTCTTCCATCTTTTGTAATAACCATGTTACATCTTTTAAAATTTATGCCACTTATTCCTTATGATTTGACCTCTGTCCTACCACAGAGACATCTAATCACCAAATTCAGACTTTTTTTCAGCTTTCATTTTCTTTCAGATATTTTTAAAAAACACCACAGACCTCTTCCTTTGTTAGCCTCTGAGTAATACTATCTTTGCTTGGATAGTTTCCTCAAGGCAATTATATTTATTTTCATCTTCTGCTTCATTACTGTCACCTTCACTGAAGCCACCCAGTTCCTGCCCTCAATATTTTTAAAGTAAAAATTCAATTCACATGTGAGTCCCTGCTATATATAAAATATTATGTATGGTACTACAGATATACAAAGATGAAAAGTGCTATATCATTCTTGTTCTTAAGAAACTTAGTGCTTTGTAGGAAAAATATAATAGGTATATTAATAACTGTAACGTTGGTGTTGAAGGTAACTGTAATATGAGGCTAACTTTCATGAGAAGAAATCTCATGTTCAGAAATGTCACATAATATTTTGGGGTAATAAAAGTGTTACAGTTACTTAGCATTGTCTTAACCCACAGTTCACCTTTCTATGTTCTGTTTTGTGACTGGGCTTCATACATTACCCCACCATCACCACATACACAATTTTCAGGAGATCGCCAGTGGCTCTCTGAAACCATCCAAAGCCTACACACAAGAACTGTAGTACCATGTCTGTTAATCGCATAAGCAAGACAGCTACTCAGTGAGTAATAAATAGGTAGCATATATAACATGGACATTGTGAGCTTTCGTCTCACTGCTGGGAATGACGCACAATTTAAAACTTATGATTTAATTACTGTAATTTTCTATTTACTATTTTGATTGACTGTGAATAACCAAAACTTCAGAAAGCGAAGTTGCACATGGGGAAGGGCTACTTATCAATATCCCTAGCTGACTCCTCATTGGGCCCTGATGCCAACATGAGATTTCAGAGAGAAATTGGAAGGCTAGGGAAAATAAATGGAGCCTACTCCTTTTACTTCCTTTTGCTTCCATTTCCTTTGAGCAAATCCAGAAGCACTTCTTTACCCTGGTGGCACCAGTTTGTCTTCTGAAAAACTAAATCCTGTTCCCATTTTCTTTGATACAGAACCAGCCCGAATCTGTACCTTCCTCTTCAGGGGTATGGATCCTAAATCTTGGGTCCTGCTCCAAGCTTAGATATATTAGTACCAGGTAATTTATGCTCTTTCTTCAGAGGTCTGAATTTCAGTTCTGTGTGGTTGTTACTTTACATTTAAATTTTAAAGATTCCAGCCTAGTCCTTTGATCGTCTAGTTTTAAGGTTGGTGACTACTCCCTGCTGTTACCACCTCTGTGATATCTTAGTGTACTCTTCCTGTCTTTCAAATTGCCTGTTACAACTTTACACTTTGTTAACATTTATATTAAATTCTGTCTGTTCCTAAGCAATATTTTTTCTGTCTCCTAATTGTTCCTTGACTAATAAGGAAGGAAAAAACATTTCAGTTTGACTTAGAAAAAGAGTGCAATTTCAGTTAAGTGAAAATCAGGAAATTTCAAATAGAATGAATATCAGCACTAGTAAAGGTAGCAGAGATGAGAAAGTATGGTGTACATTTGGGAAACATTTTCACTGTAATTTGAGGAGGAAGAAGAATTAAGTTAAATGAATGGAAAGAAGAAAACCGGGAAGGAGCCAAAGAGAATTATTATTGTTATTTTTCTCTGTTATTGTTTTCAGCTGCTTAGCTGGGCATAGTGGCTCACACCTGTAATCCCAGGCCAAGGCAGGAGGATCACCTGGAGTTTGAGACCAACTTGAACACAACATAGTTCAAGGCCAGCCTAAACTACATAGTTGAGACCCTGTCTCAAAAACACAAAGTAAAACAAAACATTTTAAACTTCTTCATTTGAACAAGAGGTCATAGAATTCTTGTTTTCCACGAGATATACCACAATTATAGTCTTTGGAAAATGTCCAGGTTTACTAATGCTTTATTTAGCTTAATTTACATAAAAACAAAGTGTGTGTGTGTGTGTGTGTGTGTGTGTGTGTGTGCGCTTGTTTTTTTTTTTTCTCATTGAGTTTATTGGTACATTTTAGGTATACAGTACAGTTACATTCATCATTGGGATCTTGTACCTTTACATGACAGGTCTTGGTTCTCATTTTTTCCCCTTATCCCTGCCCTCCATGTGCTCGGTTTTTTAAAACTATTATTTGCTTTTAGTGATCTTGTCTTTACATGACAGGTCTTGGTTCTCATTTTTTCCCCTTATCCCTGCCCTCCATGTGCTCGGTTTTTAAAAACTATTATTTGCTTTTATGTTTTTGATGTTTAGGCTAGACAGCAACAAGCAGAGTTGGCCCAACAGGAATGGCTTCAAATGCAGCAAGCTGCCCAACAAGCTCAGCTTGCTGCTGCCTCAGCCAGTGCAACTAATCAGGCAGGATCTTCTCAAGATGAAGAAGATGATGATGATATCTGAAATTCACCAGCTGAGTTTCTGTTTTCTCTATAAATGTTTCTTCTTGCACAACAAAACAGTGAAAGAAATGCTTATGTGTAATTTTGTATGCATCTTGGTGGACTTACCATTGGTATTCTAGGGATGTCTGCTGTTAAGTTTCATCTATTGTGTGCTATACATGTAAAAACTGTCTCTTTGAACTATTGAAAATTTAAGATTCAGTATAATACCAATTTTGAATTTTTAATGGTGTTTATGAAATTTTAGATAGCAGTGAGGTCTTTATTTGATCAGTAAACAGTGTTACAGAAAACTTCAAGTTTATAAAAATACAGTGAAATTTATACAAAAGCTCTTAATCTGAATTTAGAATTCCTCTGTCCTTTTAACTAAACTAAAATTGGGAATTTTAAATTTAGGTGTGGTGTGGTGTGAGGCAGAATACATTGGACCAGGTTGGTTAAAAAAAGTTCTGAATTTTTTGTCTTTTAAAAAGAGTATATATACAGGCAATAAATATATATATGCTCAGATACATATACTTGTTTAGAGAAACTCAAAATAAGACATTGAAAAATGAAAGTGTGTTCAGTAGTAGTTGTATAAATTTGATGAGTTTTTTTTTATGTTTTGTGTAGAGGTAGAAACTAGTTTTATTACAACATAATTTATCTTGAGCTATGCTATTACATTTCAAAGACTGCCCAATTTTGAGGACTGTCGTGATTCTTACTATTTCACTCCAGTTCAGTAATTGTTAATAGTACTACTTGCTTAGTCAGTCCATGTTTATATTTTTCAAATATATAGTTGGGACTTGTTGAACAGTTGCTTGGGTTCCATTGGTTAAACTGAGGTTTATAAATATTCAGACCTTTACTAGGGAAAAAGAAAGGTAATGAGCATGCTTGCTATGAAACAAGCCCCCCCCTTTTAAATTTAACTTGTAGCTGTAGTTTTCTTGTTTGCTTTTAGCATTACATTTACATTTTCTTGACTAGATGGCCTAGAGTCTACTGCTACCTTTAGAAATGGCATCATTGTCTCTATCATAATTGAATGATAGCTTTAAAAAAAAAGTTTGGTAGGGCTGAGGATTTAGCTCAGTGGTTCTGCTGCCTACCTTGCAAGCCCAAGGTCCTGAGTTCGATGCCCAGTACCCAAAAAAAAAAGTTTGGTTTTGTTTAAGAAAATTGTGTCATAACTTATTACCCCTATTTGAAACAAATAGTTTCAACCTGCTTGTTAAAATGGAGAAGCTTTAATTTGGTTCCAATAAATAAAGTACAATAGTGATTGTTACAGGAATCTAATGTATGGAGTAATTGCATATTGTTTGTATTTTGGGAGCAGGCAGCAAAAGCCAATTAAGATAATATGAAGTAATTAAATTCCTATGTCAATTGCCAAATCATTTAAATTTCTATATTCACCAAGCCCCAAAATAGATCCTAGTTGCAAAGATTTCAATTTTAATTGAAGAGTGAGCTAAATAAGTAAAGTTTATAAGTATTAGGTTTGTTAATGATTATATTTTGCAGTTTTGAAAAAGGGAAATAGTGTTACATATTTATCAAATGCACTTCACCCACATAACAAGGTTAATAATTTTGATGAATGTTTTAAGTTGAAGTTACTTTATGGATATTTTACCCATGAAGTGTATTTGGACAAAATGGAAGGAATTGTGTTTTAAAAGTTTAAGTACCAAAGGTAGTCTAGTCTAGAGAAATAATAAGTGTTGGCTTTACTAATTTGTACTGTAACATCCTTATACTTCTATTTTATGTGTATCTATTTCTCAAGTAAATAACTTAGGTATTTTTCCATACCTTTTTATTTCTGATGCAGAGTTCAGGTTAATATTTTGCTGCATCTGATAATGTATTATATGTTGGAAGCCTAGTGACTTTTCATTTTGACATTCTTGTGGTTTCATATGCTGTATTCTTCAAGCAATAAAATTCTGATGTGTTTTATAAATCGTTTTTATGTTTAATGATCCATAAGAGAGATTTCTTTCACCATCCTTACTATTTCAAAACGTTAGACTCAAAGAATATTTTGGTTATTTGGCTTATAATACCTACCTTTCACCTTTGTTTAATGTTATTTGCGAAAATGTGGTTTCACTGTGTTTTTGAAGTTTAAAAGTCCTAGGATCAAGGCACAACAAAGCTAATTAAGAAGTACTTTAATTTTAGCATTTAGAAGTAGTCCCTATGATATATTGCCAACCGTTGAAATGTTTTAGTCTTTTGGAGAAATAAAAGCTTTGGAGTTTTTGAGAAATAGTTATTGTTTAGTAAAGGATCTCTTCCACTTTCTTGTATATATATATATCTTTACACCAGATTCTGAGATTGATAAGTTTTGAAAAGATACCAGCTTTTAAAATTGCATATAACTTCCATACAGAAGAGTGTACAAATAAGGGTTTGAACAAACTAAACATGCTCATCACCAGTATTTAGAGAAAACGAGCATTGTGATCCCACTTATCCCTATCTTAACACTATCATTTTATCTAGAAGTAATTACTATCCTGATTTTTAGAACTATGGGTTAAATCTGCTTATTTTTCATTCTATGTAAATATAATTATACACAATAGACTTTTTCACTTACTATTTTTGTGGTTATTGCCTCTGTAATGAATAGCCAAACTTAGTGACTTAACACAAATTTATTATCTTACAGTGCTAGAGATCAGAAGTCCAAAATCAGTTTCATTAGGCCAAAATCAAGATATTAGCAGGGTTGGTTCCTCCAAAAGGTCATAAGGAAAGAATTGGTTTTGACATCTTTTTTCAGCTTTTTATGCCTTTCTGTATTTCTGGATTTATGGCTCCTTCTTCCATGTGAAAAGCCTGCTTTTGTCGCTACATCATCATCTCTGGTAGAGTCACATTTTTATTTTGCTTCCTCATTTGTAGCCCCTCTGGATATTCCAAAGTAATCCTTCCATCTCAAGGTTCTTAGTCAGATGTGCAGTCTCACGCTGGGATTTAGCTCAGTGGTGTCATGCCTGCCTCACAAGCACAAAGTCCTGAGTTCCATCCTCAGTACTCCCCACCTCCCCCCAAAAATCAGATGTACAGTCTCTTGTCATATAAAGTAACGTTTACCAATTCCTTGTATTAGGACCTGGATATTTAACCTACCAAAGGAAGATCCTACCGTACTGATGCATGTATTTATAGTTCTTTCATTCTTATTGCTGTATACTGTAGTGTTCTGTTTATCCATTTTTTTGTGTATATCCAAAATTATCTATTCTTCCACTGATGGGCATTTAGGAAATTTCTACCTCTGGGCTATTATGAATAGTGTGAAGAGCATTCTTCTACTACACATCTTTTGGTGAGTATATATACACATTTCTGTTAAATTACTGGGCTATGGGTTGTGTAAGTTTTCAGTTTTGGTATGTATTGTACAAATTGTTTATAAAAAGGTACCATTTTAATATGCATTGTAATAAAGAATTACCCTAGTGGCCTATAGGCCTGAGAATATTAATGAATTTCTCAAAAACATCTGGATTATACCAAATGTGTAATACTTCTGCATCAGGTCTGTTATTTAATATCATGAAACGAATAAAAATAAAAGTATTTATTCTTAATACTGATGTAGTAGTATTAGGCACTTATTGAGTTATTGCTCCTCGGAAAATATACAAGTTCTTGGTAATCAGAAATAATGTGTTATTGGGCCAAGAATTTAGCTCAGTGGTGCCACACCTGCCTCACAAGCACAAGGTTCTGAGTTCAATCCCAGGTACCAATAAAAAAAAAATCATAAATAATATGTTATTTATAAATAGTATGTTGACTTGTAGACAGTTGTATTTAATTTGTCAATAAGGTTATAATTTATTTAAACACACAGATATCTCCTTACAGAGTTCTCTAAAAACAGTTCTGTCTATCCAACTCTTAGATATCCATTGGCCATCAGGAAGAACTGTTGAATCCAGAGAGAATAGGCACTGCTTTCCACTGGCTTCACTTGGAGTTTTTACTTCCTTCTTCTTGTCCTTAGGCCCTTGGCCAAAACTCCTGCCCTGCTTTGCTAGAATATCATAGATAACATCATCTAGGGTGAAGAGCAGTAAAGTGTTACCACTGATTCTTAATTTCCTTAACGTACATGAAAAGAGATTCTTAATTTGTATATTTTTTATGTGAATAGTATTTGTCACTAAATAGAGGTAGCAGTAGAAATAGGAGATGTTTCAGAGTAAGTCTTTAGTGTGATCAGGGTTTTTTTTTTTTAAGAAATTAAGTGTGGAAGGAGTTTGATACTATCAGAATGGATATGTCTAGCAAAGGAAGAAGAAACTGCTTATTCTTAAAGAATCTAAAATTCCTTTAACTTTAGAGGAAAAACACAGCAGACTCAAAATTTCCTAATTGTGATAAACCTTCTAATAAGTTTTTTCCCCTTTGAGACAAATCTTGCTGTGTTGTCCAGACTGACTGCAAACTCCTCATTCTCCTGCTTTGGCCTCATGAATAGTTGGGATTAAAAGCACGTGCCATCTTGCCTGGCTCTAAATTTATTTCTTTTATTATGACTGAAAAGGATACCATGAACTTCATATTGTGTCACCAATAAACTTCTAGAATGTGTAACATATGATAGTAATGTGGTTGAAATATGAAGATATAAGAGTACTGAAACATTTCTTTGTTTTTTAACTGTCCAAACTTGTTTTTTATGATGTAGCTGAACTTTACAACATTGTCATAAAATACTATTATAAACAGAGCTTTCAGATAGAAAAAAAAAAAAAGAAATTTATGTTAGGTTAAAGCATGCAAAAGAGCCAATGATAAAAGCATTAAGTTAATAAATAATATGATAATGATCTCTAATCTACCCATTATAACCTCTTTATATTTAGGCCCCCCACAAAAATCAGTAAATGTCACTTTGAAATTTGGTGTACAGGTCTGACTTCTGATTTCTGTTTATGATATGCCCTTTGCACTTACACAATTTACTGGCTGTAGCACAGCAAATTTAGAGAAATTTGATCCTGGCAATAATTTACCACACACACTGCAGTCAATAAAGGCAAATGCATTCTCATAGTTTACTCTGTGAACTTAAAATGCACTAATGGATTAACTATACAAATCACTGAGGTACCAAAATTCCTTAATATTCACTTTTCCTATGAAAAGTGCTAAATATAACTCTAATAAGAAAATAGAGTTCTCAAGGCAAACTTTCAGCATAATGTACAGAGAGATTTCAATAGAAGTCAATAACCAATCTAATCCTAAAAAATATGCCTAAGTAAGAGTGATCTTAGTGACCTCAGCAACATGCTGAAATGCTATTAAGAGTCTCCTATGCACAAGGACAACCCAGAGAAAAAGAAAAACTGTCTCTTTATTCACAAATTTTGACATGTTCATATTCAAGGGGAAAGAAGAAGGGTTCATGTTAATAAGAAACATTTATTTGTATATTACATAGTACAGGGTATATTTTATAAGTTTGGTTTACATATGCAGTTGCAGCATAAAAAAGTTATAAATGAGGAAAATAAGACTCAAATAATACAATAACATCTAGCAAATGGATGTGTTAGAATTTTAACCTCAACATTTGGAGTTTTAAGGACTATTTTTCTTTCACTAAATCATTTTCTTCTAAGAGTACTCTGGAAAAACTGGAGTGAATCTTTTTTTTTTGGTATCAGGGATCGAACTCAGGTCCTTCCACTTGGAAGGCAGGCTGCAGAACCACTGAGCTAAATCCCCTGCCCCTGGAGTGCATCTTTATACTATTTAAAGCATTATAATCCTACTGAGCTTTTGCAAGATAATTATGGAGCTCACTTAAAGGAAGCAGAGGTAATGTCTGGTAATATTTTTAGCTTCCTTTTTCTATCCACTTTTGTCTAAATGATTCACTTAGTGTTAGGTAGAATGTCAAATGTTGTTAGAGAAGCTATTTGATAAAGTTGATGTATTATATAGAACTTCTCTTTTGAACAACATACACATGAGAGAAAGCTTATAGAAAAGTGTCACCTGGCATTAGGTTTGCACAGTTTCATCTTATTCAAATGTTGCTGAATTTTGGAATCTTGAAGTAAATCTATTGAAAACCAAGGCCAGATATTTTTTTTAATTGCCAGAATCCTATTTTTCATATCTCATTAACAAGTTTACTATCACACAAATAGAAAATATGCTCTGGTACCTGTGACTCTTATTTAGGATTTGTAATTAAGGATTATGTTCTCAATGGTACCTTTTTTGTTTTACTCTAGGAATTATTTATAAGATTCTAGTCATGTTACCTTGGAGTTTAGGCAACTGCAAATTCTCACTTTATATTCTTATTAGTTGTTATCTGAATCATGGGTAACCTAACTTGGCTTGCTGTTAGTTCTTTACTTCAGTCTGTCCTTCACATTGCCATATTTAATATAAATGTGAATATTAGATTTCTCTCATCCTTGGTAATATATAAAGTCTAAACTGTTATATATAATGTAAAGTGTCTTTCACTGCACAATTCAATTTATTTTTCTACAGTCTTTCTAATTGCATGAAATCTGTGCTAACTAATGCTATCTCTTATACTACCTTTGTACATATTTCCTCCCCACTCTGAAATGACCTTTTCCCTTCTTTACCTGGAAAACTTCTAACCATACCTTAAGATTGAGCTTAAATTTTAGTTCCTATGTCAAATCCCTCTTATCCCTGTGCCTCTATACAGGGTCACTTACTCTCTCATTAGCTATGTTTATGGTAAATGTAGGCTGAGCACCCTAATCTAAAATTCTGAAATCTAAAATGTTCCAAAATCCAAAAGTTTTCAAGTACCAGTTTGACCTCACAGTGGAGAATTCCACACCAAACCTCATGTGATGAGTCTAAATGCACTAAAAAT